TGTAATACATATCTTGATATATTTCTTGATTCTCATTACTATAAAATTGAGTATAATAGTAATCTTTGAATTCACAAGTATATTATTTAATTTTACACATATCACAAATTGTTAAATTAATTAACTTAACTCTTGCATTATCTTTTTCTCGTATTGTTTTTTCTTCATAATTTCTTAATCAATTTTCTCCTAAGAATTCATTTGCAATATATTTTACTAATCTTTCTATTCCTAGTTTATCTGACTTTATTATTTCTGTTTGTACATTTCTTTTTATTAATGATTTTGTATCACTACTAATTCCTTCCCACCAATTTCTAACATTTCCTTCAAAAGATGCAATTAAAAAATCTATTCTTCTTTCAATATTTTCTCATGTATCATATTTATTATATAAAAAGAATAATATCATTGAGTCTGCCCATGTTATTAAGGCTTTCTTAGTGTCTATTTTGCAACTCAAGTCTAATTTTGTTCCTCCATGGTTAACAGGTTTATCATAATTATTATTTAATTCAAATCTATTACTAATTTATTTCCTTTAGATGGTTGTTCATCTCTTATTTTATCATAAAATTGTCTATATGGTTTATTATACATCGGAGTATAACTTTCATCTGGATCTATTGATTCTTGTTTAGAGGTTCCTACGGGATTAGGTCTTCCTCCAGTATTCATTAAGATTGGGTATTCATCATCTATACTTTCTAAACTTAAATGATCAAAATTATCTATAAGTAGATATAATTCTTCATTCATTTTCTTTGTCTTGATTTTTTGTTTACTTAACATTTTTTTCTCTATATTTCTCCTCTTCTAATATTTTTGGTAATATATTTTTTCTAAACTCACAATCCATGCTTCCTGTTTCTATTATTATATTTTCTCTTTCAATATGTTTTTTTCCCTATTCTGGTTATTTCTTTTTCTATAAATTTTTTATCTATTCTATTATTCTTTTCTTCATTTTCTTTTAATTTTTTGACTTCAAGTTTCAACTTATTTATATCATTTCTTGCTTCTTTTATTTCATTCTTTATTTCTTATACATCATTTATTAATACTCTTATTAAATGTTTTAATTCTTCCATATGTTCACTGATTGACATTTTCTTTTATCGATTTTTTGATTGATAATAATAAAATGCTATATACTAAGCATTTTTACAATCTCTTATCATTTTATCATATTTTTGTTTTATAATTTCAATATTTGTTAGTTCTTTTAATTTTTCATAATATCTTGCTTTTTCTTTATATCTTTTTTGTTTTAATTTTAATATTTGTTTTTCTTGAGTTTTAGTTATATCTTCAGGTATTAATAATTCATCTAAAATTTTATTATTTATTAATCTTATTCTTCTTAACTTTCTTTCTAAAATATTTTTAGTTTTTCCCATTATATTTTTATGATGATTCAAATATTTCTCTATGGTATAATTTATTTTCAAATACTTCGATAATTATTTCATATGTACGTCTATCTTTGATAAATCTTACAATTAATTTATGTAATATTTGTTCCTTTATTTCTCTAGGTAAATTCCTAGTTATATATAATGTTATTATTTTTAATTTATTAGGGATATGGTTGAAAAATATATAACATCCTTTTTCTTCAATACATTGATAATAATTATTTATTTTTTATGATTTTCATAATATGTGTGTGTGTGTGTGTGTGTGTGTATATATATATATATATATGTATATATATATCTGTGTGTGTGTGTGTGTGTATATATATATACACATTGATAATAATTATTTATTTTTCTTCAAATAATATCTTTTTAATTATTTTTTCTTTTAGTTCTAAAGGTAGATTTTTAATTACTCTAAAAATTTCTAATACTTCTTTTATGTCTTTACTATATGTTCCAACTATATTCTCTTCTTCTATATAGCCTTCTATATTAGAATTATATTTTACTTGATACCTTAGTCTATTTTTATAAGTTTCAATCATTTCTAAAATCATCTTTATTTTTTCAATGATTAATTTTATTTATTTTCAATATCTTTTAGGTAATTTATTTTTATATATTTTCTCATGATCTCTCTGGCTTTGATACCAACGGGATGGATGCTATTATGAGCGAACAAAAATCTAATAATCAAAAATCTAATAATCTAATATTCTAAAAATTCTTTTATTTTTGTTTTAGTTAATCTATTTGTTATTAAGCGTATATAAAATCTTAAGATAAGGTTAAAAACTAATTTTTTGTATGCTTGTGGTAATCTATTTCTTATTGATCTTCTCATAAATTTTTAAGTAATTTTTCGAAGTCTAGTAATGTCTGAGAATTTGTAATATCAACATTTGTTATTATATCTATGTCTGTTCTAAAAGGTATATCGTACTTTATGATATTTTTCTTCCTTTTTTCTAATTTATTTATGATACCTTGTATATCTTTTATGATTATTGATCTTACAATTCTTTTAACAAAATTTTCTAATAAGTTTTCTTCGAAACACTTTAATATTTCTTGTGATGCATATAATTGTTCTTGATATCTTATCTTATCAATTTCTTTTTCAAACTTAATTTCTTTTTTATTTTTAACAACCTTTTTTATATTATATGGTCCTCTCTTATATTTTGGGTTTTTCATTTTATAATTATTCATTAATAATTCTTTCAAAGTTTTAGAAAAATTACTTGTTAAATTTTTAAAGACTTAGATAGAAGATTTTTATTATGAAATATGTTGTTTTTAATATTTGTTTAAGGGTATTTTAGGTAGTTCCAAATGTTTAGAAAAGTCAAGAGCCATTTTGGAAAATGACCTCTCTTATTTGGGTCAATTTCATGTATTTCCCCATAGTTTGTGAAAGAGAGACCAATAACCTTTTTATTTTTTTCTTTTACTTTTTAAATTGCTAGTTTAGTCATCGTGGATCGATGGACTAGGCAATCAAGCTAAACAAAAGTACACAACTATGGTAAACCAATTCACAAATCGAGTCGACCTAGTTACAATCTAGTTTTTGGAAAGTCCAAAATCTGATGTATTTTGACATCGCTAGTTCAACATTTGATCTACTTTGACATCACTAAAAAAGTAAATTTATCTTTGATTTAAGACATGAGTTTATTATATACAACATTTGGTCCTTTTCTTTTTTCGGGTGAGGTGGTGGGTGGGAAGAGATAAGAAGTGTAATAGAATTAAATATATATACTATCCACTTCCATTGAAGATTAGAATAAGCATCAGATTATATTGACCGTCATTTTACTAAGTCCATCATTAAAACAATTTTAGATGCCGCCTTCTAGAATGTGTGAAATTCTTAAAAAGTCTATATACGTTTTTATTTTATTTCACGTCTCGATATTGAATACTTCCGAATTTTTTGGGGGTGCGTGAAAGAGAAGTACAAATTTGACTTTTTGAAAATTTGCTTCTTTTTAATCATTTGCTTATTTCTCTCTACATGAATATGGCTCAGTTTGAGCTTAATTTGTATATATATATATATATATTTTTTTTTTCAAAGAATGTGAGATTAAATGGTATGGAATTCAATACTTACGTGCAAAATTATTATATTGGACAACGTATTTTTGAGCATGATTTTTTTTTTTTTTAAATGGAGTACAATGAGGGTCTATGTATGATATTCTCATCTCAACCTTTATAATCCAAGAGAAAAGTTGCCCATCGTTAACATTTTCAACATTAGACTTGTTTTAGTTTTTAAAAAAAAAAAAAAAAAAGAAGTGTAATTAATTTCCTAAATTAATGTTTAAACACGAATTTTAATATTACCTAATTTAAATTTTAAATTTATGTTATCAAGTTCATCATAAAAACATAAATTTTGTATCTTGTAAAGTAAGAAAAATTAATGTGAAAATTAACAACGAATGTAACTTTTAATAATGTACATTGTTTTTCAAATTATATTTATACTTACATCCTATTTGATTCACATTAATTTATTTTATAGTTTGCTACATGACCAACACAATAAAATATTTTACACATTCTTTCAAAATAATACATATACTTACATATTGTTTGATTTTCATTAAATTATTTTATAGTTTGCTACATGATCATCAGAAGAAAATATTCTACCCATTCTCTCGAAATTTTTCCATACTTTTTAACTAAACTTTCTACTAATACAAACTATTCAAAACTCATTTTCTCTCCACTAAAGGGAATCAAACAGAGAGTTAAAAGTAAACAAATATATAAATAAATTGTGGATGAGGCCACTAGGCTAACTATTTGGTCCACTACTTGTACAAGACACCATTTAGACCACACGTTTGTAAATTTTTAATAGTGTACCTGGGATACCATTCCATTTGCACAAGAGCCCTTTTTTTTATTTTCATATTTTTTCCTAAGATACGAAGAACGTTACAATCAAAAGGAATTTTCTAATTTTTACTTTTCAAAAGGAGGAGTGTTAAATTCTTTTTCTTTTCTACAGAGATTAGGATATTGAATATTGGTGTGAGAAGAATGCTTCATATAAATAACTCACTTCTTGATCTTCGATCCATTAATCACTACGAATGCCTCGCATTCTTTTCATATACATCAAGAGTCCACTTTGATAATAATTCGATAGAATTATGACGCAACATGTAAAACGAATTTGCATTACAACTCTAATGACAATGAATATGTAAATTTATGGTCTGCTAAACTTTTAATGAATATTCATTTAAATAAGTTTGATAATAAAGACTCGTATAATTAGTTAAATAAATAGGAGGGTTCAAAAAAAAAAAAAAAATCACTAACAACATATACATAGTTTAAAATAACTTTCTCCAAATTGCGATTTTGAAGAGAGAGAGAGAGAGAGAGAGTAATCTTTTAAGTTTATTACAATTTTTATTTATTTTTTACTATATATTTCATGAAATCAATAACTTTTATCGACGGTAACAAACATAATTAGGGGCCATTAGAAAAGAAAGGAATCATAAGAAGATAAATATTCGAAATAAAATTACAATTTTGTGCTGAATAACAACTTCTGTTTCTATTGGACAAGAAGGCCATTGTAATGACAATCATACCCTTTACGAGGGTACATCCATTTGAAATAAAATTTACATAAAACCAGAAAACAAGAAGTCAAGAAAAAAATAATAATAATCTGCATACAAAAATATTTTACAATAGTTTATTTCTTAACGTTAAATATTCAACTCAAATTTGTGCAAAATATTTTGCTAAATGTGGATCCCAGCCTCCCTCGACTTTTGCAGTTAGGATGAAAGATACCTTTTCGCCAAAACTGACCATTAGCTACAAGCCGGGGATAAGGTCGAATAAGACCGGTTTACAAGTTTAAACCGGAGGCCGAACTGAGTCAGCCGAAACTAGATTAGTTTCATCAGCGGCCGTGGGCTCCAGACACTTGAAGGACGGCATTTTTACTGGCGTTCTGCCACTCCTGGAGGTGGATTCTTCGCTGCTTTCTGCCACTACTCTTGGTGATCTCATTGACAGTGCTCTCGAGAAAAAAGACGACGCCCTAGTGAAATTCCATCTATCTGATTTTACTTCCAGTTCTGGCCTTTCGATCCTCTGATAAAACCTCCCTCCCCTTCTTGAACTTCCTTCTCGAGGTAATGTTGTGGCACAACTTTTCGTCCTATTTAACATAGCCCGGCCAATAACCTCTTTCCTGACTTGTTCCGGCAATTTCAAAGTGAAGCGGTCAAGATTTTCTCCCGGAAGACCCAAGGACAGGGAGTGACCAGTAGAGTGTGATCTAAACTTAACTAGTCCAAACATTTTCGGCCTTCTTATGGACAACGACCTCGGTGGCCGGTTCGGGTATTGTAAACTCGAGTTCCGTTTCATCATTCTCGGTCTAGCAGCACCCTCTAGCCCTTCTGGCTGATTTTCATCCCTGCTTTCAACTTGGATAATAACTTGTTCCCCATTTCTTGAACTGTTGATTCTTTCAACATTTTCATTGCTCTCTTCATTAGCATTAATCTCCCCCGGTTCCTGTGTCTGCACATCGGTCGACAGAAGAACCAAATTAGCTCTACAAACGGGGCAAGTGACATGAGACTCGAGCCAGGCATCGACGCACTGAGCATGGAAGACATGATCGCACTTTGGTATCAAACGAATAGTTTCATCATCTTCAAATTCATTCAAACAAACAGCACACTCCAAGGCTCCTTTTCCAATCTTGTGATCCTTCACTTCTGAGTATGAGAAAGTGGGAAAAGTTTCTAAGATCGAAGCGTCGAGTCCACGCGCGGCAGCTGCACGACGGGATCGCATAGAAAGGGCTCGACGAACGCTTCCGGCGGCACCGGAAGTGTCAGAGCAGTGGCGGATGTAGATAGAAAAAAAACCTATGAAGAAAAGTGCTGCTATGAGGACGACTATGATAATCGCCATGGATGGACTGAACCTGGCATATGGGTACCCGTTGTTATCGTCACCGGGTGGAGTCGACTGAGCTCCAACCACGGCGATTTCTGGAAATAGAAAGAGGACGACAAGGGAGATAAAAACAGCAAACCCATGATGAAAAAAGCCTATGCCGGTGGTTTTCATTGGATCTAGAAAGATTTAGCATAAATTTTCTATTCTGGTGGAGGTTGGTGGTTGAAAGTGCGAGTGGGGTGTGTGCGCCGGAGACGGAGGAGGAATGACGGTGTGACTGAGGGGAAATAGAGTTTGGGAAGAATATGTATATATGAAGAGGGAGGGAGGGAGGGAGGGAGAGAGAGAGAGAGGCAGGAGGTGTCGTGAAATTCAAGGGAAACTGTCTTTAGGAAGCCCGACTGTTTGTTAGTTTTCCAAATTACCAATGGAACCTTCTATTAGTTTTCCTCAATTATTGTATTAAACATTTTATTTATTTGCGAATGTCGAAGTTGAATTCAAAGGTTGAGAATTTATTAGTTTGGGTGAAGGCTAAATAGCACAATATTTTTATCTTTCAATATTTTTGTGCAAAACGTTGTGTCTTTCTTTTTTGATAATTTCACCCTCACTTTCATATTTCATTATGAAAAAGGTCATTCCATCCACCTACTATCAAACGCTTCGTTAACTCCACAAAAATGCTAATTAGCATAAAACGTCTCCATGTTTTCAATATTTTTGTGCAAAAACATCCATAATTTTCATTTTACAGAGGTATAGATGTTTTACTCAACTTAGTTTTAAAAATATGGATATTTTTTCGCAAAGTATGTTAAGGATGACTACCACAAGTTCAATTTCATGCCAGAAAGAAAAAGAATAGGCCCCCTTCATCTTCTCTATTCATATGAGATGTGTCATTCTCCTCCGAAATCTGATGTGTTATTTACAATATCACATTTGTCATTGTTCTTATTTTACTTTTATTTACACTCTTAATAAGCACAAATGGGGACGAACATCTTCACTTTATCGACCACATATTCAATCTCTTTATCTATCGTTCCAAAATTTATGAGTAATTCAGTATTGCAGTAGACATTGTTCTTCTCAAGGTAAAATAAAGCATTCTTTACGTAATTTTTTTATTTTTATAATAGATTAATTATATAAATTATTTTCATATCACTTTTTAATCTTGAAAGTTAACTTTGAAGGCGAGAAGAAGGCCTTTGAAAAATTGGGTAAGACTATATTACCTTTGATTTTTAAAAAGAAAAATTATTTTTTTATTGAGTTAACGGGGTATTCGATGGTGGGTGGGTGGAAGGACCTTTTTTCCGCAATGAAAGGTGAAAGTAAGGATGAAATTATCAAAAATTCAAATCTGTAGACATTTTGCACAAAAATATTTAAAGGTAAAAACTTTTTGTGCTAATTAGCCTTATTAGGTTAATGGAACTTTTGACGGTAGATGGATGGAAGGACTTTTTTCTCAATGAAAGGTAAAAACGGGTGAGATTACCAAAAAATAAAATATAGTGACGTTTTACACAAAAATATTAAAAAGTGGGGACTTTTCGTACTAATTAGCCTTTAGGTAAAATACCAAGTCGGTATATGAAACTCTACTTTCACATAAAAGGTTCTTAAAGTTTGAAATATACCTTTTTTTCAAAAAATAAAAAAGAAAGTTTTTCAACTTAATTGCAAATATCCTATCAATTCTAGAGGGTGAACACAGTTGGATTTGGATGGTTTGAGACAAATTTTCAATTCAAACCATTTAAAGCTGTTTGAAATATTCCCAAACCAAACCAAACCACTACAATTTTTAAACCAAACCAATTTAAACCATTGTTTCTGTTTGGTTCGGTTTGAAACCACGGTTTAATAATGAAAATTCAATATATATCAAATAAGTTAAATAATAAATACTAGTCTAAAATTTCACGTTAAAACATAAATTGTATTATTAAAAGAATTACAAACCAAAGTTATATGATTATAATCATTACAATACAACAACATGATATAAATATTCTAAACTTGTAGTCAATACTAATGGCGTCCATTTGGAATTGTAATACACTATTCATTTTCTTCATAAATATAAAAAGAACCATATTGCATGTATCAAATTTTTTTACCTAATTCCTTATCGACTACTCACAATAGGAGGTGGGGATCACATTTTGAAATTTTTTTATTCACGCGGGTCCCACATGCATGTGAGAGGGGATAAACAATTCGGTACATCTTTTGATGTACAAATAGAATTATTCATATAAAATGATATAATGCATAAATTCATTGATTCTAGTTACTTGATATAAAATAACTAATAAAAGAAAATGAATAAAATAATTCAAATACAATAATACTTAGCTATTGTGACTTTTTGTGAATCATCAAATGATTCTACTCATCCCAATATTAGTGAATTATTTTAAGGGAGTCCAAGAATTATTAGAATAAAATGGCACAACTACCAATAAGAACATAGAAAAAAAATTACCAAAAAATAAAAGAATTTGGATAATATGACTTGAATTTAAGCAAAATTTGAGAAAATTATTAGTAGAAGAAAATGAAACGTAAAAGTTTGAACTAAAATCTAGATTTAATTGTCTGTTCAATTGTGATGGAGGATCGATGAATATGATTTAATAGCAGTTATTCAACACTTTATTCAATTTGAGGGTTTTACTTTCACAGTTGTGATGAATAATGTGTATTTGGATATTATTTAATTAATTAATTGAGATGCATAATTGTCGAATTGAGTTTAGTTGAATTTTGTCTAATATGGATGTATCATTTTAACTTAAATGTGTTATGTTTTAATAGAATTAAATAAAATTTAGACTAATTTTACTTTCAATTATTTTTTTATTTTTTGGTAAACAGCTTGACGGTTTAAAACGGTTTGCAAAGATTAAACTTAAACCAAACAACTTTGAAACCATTTGGTTTGGTTCGAAATCATAATGTTGACTGATCCACGTGGAATCAAATCAATGATTTCAGAAATGGTTTTGGTTCGATTTTGTGGTTCAATGGATTCATCGCTCAACCCTAATCAATCCCTCCATTTGTCTATATTGTTCAATATTTGACTAATCATCAAATGTAGAGAGTTAGACGTTCACAATTTCGGTGGGTTGCATCGTCTGTCGAGACATGGTGTTGGAGTTGAAGGGAAGATGGTCTGGTTGTAGGAGACAAAGAAGGTGGTGAGATGGTTGTAGATTGAATTTGATTATAACATTGGCGATAAATGTAATTATCCATAATCAACTAGGAAATGTGAATATTTATCTTTTCCTTGTTTCTGTTTTTCTTAATTCTTTTATTTTCATTGAGACGGATGTTGAGGTGGATATAGTTAATGTCTATGTAATGTTTGGGTCATGGAGACAAATCGAGGGATTAATAGAGTATGTGTTGTTATATTGTAGGACTAAAAGTTAGATTCCAATGTTTTGGAAACTTTATCGTGTAGTGTAAAGTTTATGAATCAGCTAGGTATTTAACCATCTACGAAAATATATTAACAATACATTTAATAGTCAATATAACATTAAAATTAATAGTTTATATCACGTCACATGACCCAAGCGCCTGGTTGCATTGTGCATCACTTCATTTTTATTTCTTGATTTGTACTGTTATATTGGGAGGCGGTAAGATCTTGATTTTCTATGTAATTAAGCTCCTGTTTGGTTCTAAATTTTTACTCAAAAAAATCAATTTTTGATCTTTTTTTACCTCTTCACTTATAGATAGAACCCACTTTTCTCTTTAACTGTCAAAATATTGATTCTCATAATCAATATCGAACAGGTCCTAATTGTCTTGTGGTTGAGAAGTTGAGTTGCTTTTTCCTACAATAAGCTTAAGAAAAATATAGTGGCTATATTTTATTTTCAGTACCATTGCTCAAGTAAAGGAACACGCTTCTAAGAATTGATTCGTATGGAATATCATGACTCAACAATAAATTATTGTTTAGAATCATAACTGTATAATGTTAATAACGCCTCCCATTTTTTTTTATAATAATTTTTGTTTTTAATGCCAGTGATAAGAGAATCTAGCAATTGCTATGTTCCGATTCTGATAGGTGATTTTGACATAGCATTTCCATGATAATACCTTGTCATTCAGACCATTATATTGTAGAACAAGAGCACTGGCGGAGACACAGTGTTTCGACGAATCAAAACACACGCATACAACGTTTTGTTCTCTTTGTATCCGAATGTTTTGTTTCAATATAAGTCCTTAGCTGTAGGTCTCTAAGTCGTACATGATGTGTTATTCTACCTGAGTTCGCACGGTGTAGTTGTATAATTACTTTCATATGATGGTCTGGGAATACCCGGTGTATTTGTAATTAAGTTTTGATCAATATATTTCACATTTACCGATAAAAAAAAGAGCAGTGGCGGAGGCACATTAGGGCAAGGGGACCCTCTTTGCAAAATTTTCACTGATTTTTATGCTTGTGATTCAGAAGAAAAAAGAAGAAGAAAGAAGACTTTCTCTAGAGAAGATTAAGGAAGGTACCTTTCAAATTGTGATGCATAAAATAGTAATTGAAGATTGATAGCCTTCGATGCAATTAAAAAGTCTTCAATGCCGCAATATAAAAGTGTCAATAAAATCACAATAAAGGAATATTGGGAACTATAAAAAAGGGTTCGTTAGAACTTGTAATTACAGGGTGAATACATTGTTAATTTGAAGTAGAACATGGAAAGTAAAACTATGGAGTTTTGATGAGTTGAGAGCTATACAACAGTAAATCAACTCCTCTGTTTGAGCCCAATCTTGAACTCCCACATTCTGTATCACTTCAAGTATTGATTCTCCAATATCCCAGAATGGATCTGTGGAGTACTTCACTGCACAGATGCAATAATAAATACCCCATTAACATCATCCAGCAAATAATGTTCCAGGCAATAGGCATGGGATTTCTCAATTTACTCTTTGGATATAAGGGTTTTAGACAAATAATAAATAAAAACCAAGTTTCTAGAAGATGAAGAAATGAATACACATTGGTCTTTTCCTTTTTTTGATGACAGGGATACCCACAGTCGCTACCATTCAGGTGCGCACTGCAGTAAATCCGCAAGCTGACGCAATAGCCTACAAACCACACCAACCAGGTAAACCGTACTAAGCAAGCTCGGTGCAACAAACTCGATTGAGAAAGTGTTGGTAGGAGAATCAAACTCGTGATCAAAGGCCTTCGCGTTCACCTACTCTACCAACTCAGTCACCCCATGAGGGGCCACATTGGTCTTTTCCTTATTAGCTGGAGTAGAGGTTT